TAAACAGAAGCGTTTGAACATCTGCAAACAAAAGTTGGACCAATATTCTAAGTAAAGTAAAAATTTCTTAAATCCTTACTGGTGATGAGACATGGGTTCATCACTATGAGCCTGAGCGTAAATGGCAAGAGTATGGAATAGAAACATCCGCAATTGCCAACCAAGAAAAAGTTCAAAAGTCAACCATCAGCTGGAAAATAGATGCTTACAGTTTTCTTGGATTCGCAAGACCAGAAAACTATCATGAAAAAGGCTCAACAATCAGAAGTGCTCATTACAGTGAGATACTTACTGAAGAGTTGAAACCTGAATTTTGGATTAAATGAAGAGGACTGCTATCTGAGGGTGTTGTGATGTAGGATGACAATGTACAGCTATACACCTCTGTCCACACTGTTGACACTCTGTGCAAACTTCATTTTGAGGTGTTAAAGCATCCTCCCTATATTCCTGATCTCGCTCCATTGGGCTTTTGCCTTTTTGGTCCCCTGAAAACAGCCCTTTGAGGATGAAGATTCACTTCTTATGAAGAAGTGAATATAGCAGTGCATTTGTGGCTTATAGCTCAGATTAAAACATTTTTTAAAATAAGGGAATATGAAAGCTTGTTGACAGATGCACCAAGTATATTGATAAACAATGAGATATGCAGAAAAATGATGTATTTATCTTTTTAAAAAGTAGATTAAAATAAATTCTACAGCCAGAGTATGAATAATTTTTTACTCACCCCTGTATATTAAAATAATATAAGATATAAAAATAATATAGAATATGATTGGAGGAAGACTCATTAACAATCTGTGATATGCAGATGATACAACCTTGCTTGCTGAAAGTGAAGAGGACTTAAAACATTTACTGATGAAGATCAAAGAGCACAGCCTTTGGTATGGATTACATCTCAATGTCAAGAAAACAAAAATCCTCACCACTGGACCAATAAACAACATTCTTATCAATGGAGAAAAGATTGAAGTTGTCAAGGACTTTGTTCTTCTTGGATCAAGTATCAACACTCATGGAAGCAGCAGTCAAGTAATCAAATAACATTATTGCACTAGGCAAGTTTGCTGCACAAGACCTTTTTAAAGTGTTGAAGAGCAAAGATGTCAGCTTGAGGACTAAGGTGCACCTGACCCAAGCCATGGTATTTTCAGTAACCTCATATGCATGTGAAAGCTGGACAGTGAATAAGGAACACCATAGAAGAATTGATGCTTTTGAGTTATGGTGTTGGAGGAGAATAATGAAAGTGACATGGGCTGCCAAAAGAACCAACAGATCTGTGTTGGAAGAAGTGCAGCCAAAGTGCTACTTGGAGGCCAAGATGGCCAAACTTCATCTGCCATACTTCGGACATATTGTCAGGAGAGACTAGTCGCTGGAGAAGGATATCATGTTTGGTAAGATGGAGGGTCAGAGAAAAAGAGGAAAACCCCCAACAAGATGGATTGGCCAAGTGGCAGCATCGATGGACTCAAGCGTGGCAACAGTAGTGAGGTTGGCCCAGGATCTGGCAATGTTTCGTTCTTCTGTGTATAAGGTCACTATAAGTCGGTATTGACTCGATGGCACCTAACAACAACAATTATGCAACATAGAGATATGATTATCATTATTACAAAGTTATTATTTGGCATAAAAGTAGCATGCAAACTCTCTTGACCTGAAAGAACTCAAGGAAGATAACAACCATCAGCATTTCTTAAAATAAGAAAGCCACCCTGTGATGTAATTGACCCAAATGACTAAAAGCAAAGTGATAAACTCAGTAGATAAACCACAGTTAAAGAACAATAACAAGAAAACACTTGTGAGCATTTAAACCAGTATATATAGTGTAGTTTTAAGACTAAACAACTGGGGAGATTATGGTTACAGAAGAAAACGTCAATGTTTCGTACCCTGACGGGAAAAACAAAAAAGTATAAGCAGCAACAATCAGGAGATGTGAAGAAAGAGGGAGGAAATATAATGTTAATTATAGAGGATTAATATGAGAGCAAAATTAACCTCTAAAGTTTCATCATCTTTTTTTCATAGTGTAAAAAATTTTCAGTATTTAATTGAAGGTTAGAAAATCATTTAGTTTCACTTCTGCTTTTTTATGTTAAATCTGAGCAAAATTAAATTTAATTGCTCTTCTAGGAAAAAATTATATAGTCCTTCTAATTATATTCTTCTAAAAGTATATGCACATAAAGAGATGTCCAGAATGATGTTCACCCATGTAAAAGCAATGGTGTGATATTGGCTAGCTTGTTGCCTTTATACTTTTCTGTGTTGCTTGAATTCTTTTGAATGAACCCACATTTCTGTATTGTTGTTGTTGTTAGGTGTCATTGAGTTGGCTCCATCTCATAGCGACCCTATGCATGATCAAAAGAAACACTCCCCCTTCCTGCACCATCTCACAATTGTTGTTATACTCGAACCTATTGCTGCCGCCACTGCGCTAATCCATCTCCTTGGGTGTCTTCCTCTTTTTCACTGACTCTCCACTCTACCATGCATGGTGTCCTTCTGCAGAGACTGGTCCATCCTGATAAAATGTCTCAAGTATGAGAGATGAAGTCTTGTCATTCTGGCTTCTAATGCGCATTCTGGATGTACCTCTTCAGCCCAGATCTGTTTGTTCTTCTGGAAGTCCATGGTATTTTCAGTATTCTTCTCCAACACCATCATTCTTACTCATTGTTCAACTTTCACATGCATGTGAGGTGATTGAAAATACCATGACTTGCATCAGGCATACTTTTGCCATAGAATCATGACTATTAATTTAAAAGCCATAAAGTCATTACTCTTCATATAAAATCTTGGTCAGTAGTGTTATCTTTATTCTGATTGCTTCATAGTCATTTAAAAAATATTGCAGTTTTGACAAACTCAGGAAAGAGTCCTGGACAGCTCATGCCTTAAAGTATTGGCAAGTGCCTAAGGCGAAAGGCATGTGTTATGGAAAATGTCTGTCATTTTAATAGGATGTCTTTTGTATTCTTAGTGAATTCATAACTGAAACTCTGGTCAGAATGCGGTGGGGGGTGTGTGTGAAGTGGGATTGACCCAAGTCTCTATGATGTTAATGGACAGGAACTGTAGTCAGCTATGCTGTTGTATCAACTGTCTGAACCAGGAATATGAAACCTCCTAATCCTCGCCTAAGCAGTAACTATTGCTGTTGTTAAGTGCAGTCAAGTCAGTTCCGACCCATAGCGAGCCTTTATAGGGTTTCCGTAGAGCAGTTGGTGAGCTTGAACCACCAACCTTGTGGTTCTAAGCAACTATGCAGTCCAATGCATTAACCCACTGCTATATACCAGGTGCAACAACTAGTAAAAGAGTCCCTCTTGCCACTGTGAGTGCCTTCACTTTCTTGAATGTGCCATGTTCTCCTGCCTCTGGGCCTTTGCACATGCAGTTCCCTCTGCACCGAACAAGCTTTCCCTTGCTCCTTCTTCAGGCTTCAATGTCAACTATCCTTCCTCCAGAAGACCATCTCTGACCAGACTGGGTTAGGTCCCACTTCTGTATAACCAGTGACACTTCCCGTAGCATCTGTCTAATCGCTTGTTCAATGCCAGACCCCCTCAGTGGACTGACTTCAGGGAGGCTACAATCTCGGTTAGGAAGTGAAAGCACTGGTTTTCTCTTCCTCTTCTGGGTTCTGCCAGGATGTTAACTAATCCTATGGCCCCTGTTGCTAGCCATGTATTCCTCCCTCCTTTCTTCCTGCATCCTCTACATTTTGGTTTTCCTCAGCAAGCCTTTTGGCTCCTGCTTCAGTTAAAATAAACAAACTGCAACTGTTTTAAGTTCATCAGGAGAGAATAGCTAGGAGGCACTGGTCACCCCCTGCAGGAAGCAACACTCATTACTTGGGGATCAAGACCTGTCCCTGAAGCCACAGGCCAGTGTTAAAGTGAACTGGGGACTATGCAGATATTAAGCTTCCCAGAAGAGCTCTTGTTTGGCCTTCGGTAAAATATATAGAGGTGACAAAAGCATGTTACATGTACATTAGTATTTATTGCAGAATCATTCACTGTAACTAAAAGATGGAAATCACCTAAGTGTTCATCAACAGAGGAATGGATAAACAGAATGTGATATATGCATACAATAGAGTATTATTGTATCGGAGCCACAAAGAAGAGTGAAGTCCTGATACATACATCAGTGAACCTTAAAAACATTTTGCTGAGTGAAATAAACCAGACACAAAAGAACAATTACTGTATGACCGCACTTATATATATCTAGACTTGATGGATGAATAAAGACAAAATCACTAGCAGAGGCTGAAGGAAGTGGAGAAATGGGAAGTGCGGAATTGTTGCCGAAGAACTGAGCTTCTGTTGAGATGATGGAAAACCTTTAGAAATGAACAACAGTGATGGTTGTACAACATGATGAATGCAAGTAATGCCACTGAATTGCATACCTCAAAATGGCTACGTGGCAAATGTTTGGTTACATATGTATTCTACCACAACAAAACTTTTTAAAAGCCATATTGCAAATCAGCATGTACCATGCCACCCTAAAATGCACATAGAAAAAACACTGTAAGGAGCTTTGGTAGCGTAGTGGTTACAAATCGGGCTGTGAACTGCAAGGTCAGCAGTTCGAAACTACCAGCTGTTCCATGGGAGAAAGATGAGGCATTCGGCTCCCGTAAAGATTTACAGCCTCAGAAACCCTGTGCAGGCTTGCTATGAGTCAGAACCGACTCCACAGCACATAACAACAACAACAAGGAAAAAGACGAAAGTATTAAAATATTTTTCTCTAGTGGAAATTCTACATATTTTTATTTTCTTGATTTCAGATTTTCTGTAATGTTTCCATAGATGCTTAAATGTCACTTACGTGTGGCATTGCACTGAGCAGCCCCCAAGAAGCCTAGGAACAGTTGGTCCAGCTATTTACTCACTTCAGCCCATATTCGACTCATTTGCTAATTCTTACCACCACTCTGTCTTTTTTCTCCTCAGGTGATGGGGTGCCTGGGATCCCCCCCCACATCCTCAACAGCTCCCCATCGGACCGGCAGATTAACCAGCTGGCGCAGAAGCTGGGCCCTGAATGGGAGTCCATGGTACTGTCCCTGGGACTGTCCCAGACAGACATCTACCGCTGTAAGGCCAACCACCCCCACAACGTGCAGTCTCAGATTGTGGAGGCCTTTGTCCGGTGGAGGCAGCGCTACGGGAAGCAGGCCACCTTCCGGAGCTTGCACCAAGGCCTTGAGGCTGTGGAGGGGGACCCCTCCGTACTTCAGCACATGTTGAGGTGACGGTGCTTTCATCTACTCACTGGAGACGGAGCCTCCACGGCACATGTGCAGATTCCTGATCTTTAGCTAGAGGGGGACAACAGGTTCTCCTTGACATGGTTTGAAAGGCCAGACTGCTCAGTACACCTCCCATATTGCCTTGATGAGTCATTGTTTTTAATCACTGGAAGATTGCTTTGTTGTAATTGTGCAGTTTTTAGTTGTGTGGTTGCTTTAATACATTGATAAAATCATAGTGGATTTAAAATAGCTTTATCACATTGCATACAGGTGTCCTATACATAAAACACTCACTTTGTGTTGCCTGGGAACTGAACTGTGGACTTTGTTGTTAATGATGATAATGATAATAAAAAGTGAATTACTCTATAGAATGTGTTTCTTTTATGAGAATGTATTACCCTCCCCCATGTCCCATTCTCATAGTGCAAAGATTACGGCTATCATCATTTCTTTGGAACCAAATTGATACTAAAAGTAACATCGTCACTTTTTCTATGCAAGATAAATAGCTCAGGCAAGATGGCTGTATCAAATTAAGACACTAAAGCTCCCTGCAAAGACCCGGTCAAGTACAAGCATGCATGCCCGAGCCCTTCATCGCTGAAGACTGATGAAGAAAACCCTGTGCCACTAATTCATGATCTGGTCAGATTCTCATACTTTTTGGTCACATCGCTGTACCCATGGCATCGCCAATAAACTGATGATGCCATTTTGAACCTTGGGATTGTTACTTTGTTATCCTCCCCTGGGTCTTGGCTTTTGTTCTCACCACTCAGAGTCACAGTTGTGAATGAGTGAATGCAGCTGGGCTTGGCTGTATTCAGTCATTCATAAAGTGGGCTCTGATGATTAGCTAGGCCATCCTGCCATCATCCTGCCATCATATAACAGGCACAGACACTTCTGTGCTACATCCATAGTCAGGCACCGTTAGTGAAGAATCGGCCTGCGAGGGGCTGACAGTCAGGGCCCAGACAGACATTAGGGTGTCTTGACTTGTTGTTCTTAATGAGTAGGCTGTCTCCATCACCAAGTGACAGCAGCAATGGCTTGGGACTAACCATGCTCTTGCAGGTTTGTAGAGTAGAAGTACGGAGCACACCAAATTACTGTCTCGTTTTACCTTTGGCTGTGAATGACCATGTTACATGGTATCTGCTCAGCTCCCAAGAGAATAATGTAGGCAATGTACCTGCAAGGTCTCTGGATGCTTTTATTCAGGAGACAATTCTGCAATTCCAGACACTTCCTGTCCCAAGTAAAATTCTGAATGAATACTATGAAGTTGCACAGTATTAGCAGACACTGGCAAAAAAAGATTTTGAAAAAAGTTTCCTCTACTTTTTAGGGTTGAGGGATGTGTGTGGATTCATGAATGTGTGTCCCCTTCTTTAAAAAACATTAAGTTTTATTAATTTTTCTCAATGAATGTATGTTGTTGTTGTTGTTGTTGTTGTTGTTAGGTGCCATCAAGTCGGTACTGACTCATAGCGGCCTTATGCACAGCAGAACGAAACACTGACCGATCCTGGACCAACCTCATTATTGTTGCCATGCATGAGCCCATTGATGCTGCCACTTTGCCAATCCATCTCACTGGGAGTCTTCCTCTTTTTCTCTG